ATGGCCATAAGATTTTAGATGATACTTTTCACAATTGAGCAGTAAAAAATACTAAAAATATAACTTAGGTGGCTTGAGCAAATTTTGCAAATGACACTACAGAACTTGGAAAAGATATAGAAAAAATATGCTTTCTATTCCACTTACCTATAATGACTTAAATTATAGTTAGTTGCTTTACTAAAATGTGACAACCACTACTAAGGGGGTGGGGAGTCATAAAAAAGATAGTTACTTCGGGGGGAGGGGGGGGGTTGGGTGGTCAGGTGTTGCAACAAAAACCACCCACCTCTTCTTCCACCCAGGCCAAAAATAATGGCCTCAAGAACTTACCATTTTGAATATAACAGGATAATAATAACACTACAAGTTGAAAGTAGTAGAGATTCATGGTTGACCAGCAACAGAGAGCTAAAAAAACAGACAAGAAGCAAGATGTGAGTTAATGATCTTTAGAATATTAGAGATAGGAGAGGTTTCAAAAAAAACCCTCTGTTCGCAGGGTAAGAGTAAAATCGCTGAGAACCATACCCTGTTTGGCAGCACATACCCATATAGCAAATATAGGGGAGTACCCCCCTCCCCCCGGGCAGGGCATCCAGTAATCTAAGAGTATTGTTTGAAATTAGGCATCGATAGGACGCTTGCATGTTGCCATCATTTGATTCCCACTACCATAACGCTTTGCAAATTTTCTTTCTTATCTAATTAAATTTGTATTCCCTCATAGAAAAGTAATAAAATTGGTGCTAATTAACTGAACGAAAGAAAGTGTGCAAGTTAGTCTGGTAGTAGAGCTCTGATCTCTAGCTACTTCCAAATATTCAAAATCTTATTATAAAATAACTGTTATGAATGTCGCATTCTGATTGGTTTGGAGCATGTGCTTTATGAGAGCACATTGCACATGTGCGCACTTTCCGTTGCGTCATTCCTATCTATTATTGTAATTTGTATTTTATGAAAGAAGTAAAAAAATTGCTTGCTGTGCTGTGTGCAGTCATAAAGCACTTGGGGATTGGCAGAACACTCGAGAAGTGTTCAGAAGCACTCCGCTATGTGTCATGCTTCTCATAACACTTTTCTCCTGTTCTGCCAACCCCTGCATGCTTTATGACAGCACACAGTACGTGCACATGTTTTTTATTTCTTCAGAATTTAAAATTTTAATTCAGAAAAAAAGCAAATATTATTGAAACTGTTGATGTTTCGGAGTTGCCCGTTTTCAATATTCTGCAAACACAATATAGATGTGGGCTGCCAAAGAAATTTGTAAATGAAATCCCCCCCCTGCTGGTGTCAGCCAAAAATAATCATGCCTGTAATAATAATGCCTGTGTTCGTAGAATATCAAAAACCGCAGAAACTCCATTTTCAAGAAAGGAAAATGAATGGTAATAATAATAATATTATAATATTTATTTATAAAGCGCAATGCAAATCTGTTCTACGCGCTAGTAAAAAGGATTATTACAAACAACATAGACAGTGAAAAAATAAAAACTATTTACAAAGAATATGCTAATTTGAAGAGATAAGTTTTAAGTTCAGTTTTGAATGAGGCCAGACATGATGCATTTCGGAGAGATATTGGAATTTACCAGTTTCAATTATATTTGATTGGAGAATTTTCTATACTTAAAAAGGATCCAATCTTATTAGGAAAGGTATAGGTAATAATCATAAAGTAAGGTGGGGGAGAGTAAAAACAGGGGTCGGGTCAAACGATGTTGAACTTCTTAGGGGAGGGACCATTAGATAGTTGATTGGGGGGGGGGGGGGGGGGGGGGTGTGAATCCCAAAAAAAATTTGAGCAAGCACTTAATCCCCCCCAAAAATATCGTGCAACCTCTTCTGCTAGAATAAAAATATCTAACTGTACACAAAAAAATAACGTGTAAGGGTTGAGCCAAAAAATAAAATAAAAATCATTTCCTTCATGGAAATGTAAAGTTCCATCATTTAGACCGCATTTATACTGGGCCAGCAAAAAGAGAGCTCCTTTAAACCTACTCCATTTACATTCTGACCAGTCCCTTAAAGGACAAATAGGTGTACCCACCCTCAGCTCCCTCCCCCATAGAAAAGGAAACCACAGGGAGACCAAGCACTAAAACAGATTTAATTACACTAAACTAAGAGTTTTCAACATAGTCAGGAATAAATTAATGTTATTTTTGTGAAATTTTAGATCATATATAATAAACTAATACTTTACTTATATCAATATTAGATTTCGTGGTTAAATTTAGCTTTCAAAAATGATATTATTTTCACGCCATTGAATGACCTTCTCAGCCAAACACGCAAAAATATATTGGCACCTAGCTGATTATTCTGAATATTTAGCGGGAGTATAATCCTAGTTAAGAAAAGTTAATTTTTAACTTTTCTATCTGTTACTTCCAACCTGTTTGTTTTAAATGAGTACGAAACAAAAGAAAAGAGTTTTTTTTTGTGGCTTTTGTAAATTATTCCTAAATGTAAGAATGATTATTACTGCAATTTGAAATCTCGTTTTACAGCTGAAAAAAAAAAATCGCTTGAAAAGGCAAAATCTTATTAAAATATTTTATAGCTTTTTTTCCTTTAATTTTCTTGAAGACATTATACGATAGATATCTGTCATAGCATTGTATTCTGAGGATATAAATAAATAAATGCGACTCACCCTGCGAGGGAATACAAAAATAAGAAAATTTTTATTCAAGTGGAATGAAGCCTATCAATTTACGTAAGCCAGCATTTTCAACCGGTGTTTTCAAGCTCCCTTAGCCACTGACACGTAAAAATGGTAGAATAAACTAAAAATGATTACTCAAAAACGCTGATGTAGTTAAAAATTCGAGAGAAGAATCTTTGTTTTCGTTTGGGAGATACTCAAGGAGACGGTAGTATTAGCATAAATAATTTTTCGGGTCGAGATCATGGCATGATTTCGTGCCTAAGATATATTCAACTTATTTTGTTTCTTCCACAGCGCTTTCATTAAAAATTGTTTAGGAAATTATTTCAAAGATATATAAAAAAACACCTCAAGATTGAAGGATAAAAAAAGCATCAAAATATGATCAAGAATATTAAGAAGCAGGCTTGTAGACGAATATTATAATCTACAAAACTTAGTGTTGTGACTTGGGCAAATTACTTTTCTCTACTGGATGTCTGGGTCCAATTTATAAGTCTAAACCTTAGAAATTTGGCATAAATTGGCCCTAATAAATCGAGGATTTTCAAGAAATGATTCTCTTTCCACTCACTGTAAAACATCTAAGCTCTAGGACAAGTAAGTAAGACTCGGCTACGTCCACTCGAAGTCACAACTTACCACCTAAAATTCTGCTGAACGTCTTCAAACTTTCGACTCTAATTCTTCGCAAAACAGTTAGTAAATTTAGTTTTTTTAGCTTCTTACCTTGGTTCTTGTGCAATAGAAATAGCAAATGCAAAAGATAACAGATTAGACGATCGATAACTCGAAGGCTATAAAAGACTCCTTTACCAACACGTTGATGGCTTTAGTGAGGTTAATGTCACGCCACGGACATAACATTTGTCACGGTAGTGCGGGGCGTGACCGCCTCAGGGTGTTTTTATCGATCGAGACATAACATTTGGAAATAAATAAGTATGTATGTGCCTTTTCTTCGAATTAGTGCATGAGTGGTTTAAAATCTAATATCAACCAAAATTGGAGCTCATTAAAACTAGGTCCATTTTAGATCGATTTAGTTTGAATAGATCCGAGATCGATCCGAGTTTTCGACAGCGTCTGCCCCACGATGGTACAGCACTCGATGTCTGGAAGTATGGTCCTTTTCCATGAATGAAAAAGTAAAAATCCCAAAACCATGTTTACATATTAGAAAATAAACTTTGAAATAGATCTAATTTTAATACTAAGACGCACATTATATTTAGTTTTACTAAATGCATTCCACTTGGAAAGGAATAATTATGCGTTCAAAGCCATCAGTTTCACAATCAAGATTTTTGAGTTTGCTGGTCATAGCAAGGGGTTAATGATCTATGGTCTAGGAGCCGACTAACCTATCCCTTAGGGTTCGGCCGAGCTTCCTGATCAGTCACCGGATAGCGGTGTCGGGGTCGAAATCTCCGGCGTAGCCGTAAATGCTTTGCGCTGCCATACTGCGCTTCAGCTCTAGGTCTGGAGGTATGGTCCTTTTTATAGATTAAGTAAAATTCCCAAAATCTTGTTTCCATTGCTAAAACTAACCCACAACCATGTTATTTTAAAATAATATAATAATTTCGTATATTCAGTTGAATGCGTTAGATTTCTTCATAATTCTGGCATTTTTAAAATCAATATCTTCTTGTTTGGAAACTAGATGTCAAAGTTTTTGCGCTTCGCGCATGCTCAGTAAGTACGGGTCCTCATAGTCAGCACTCGTTTCTAGAATAAAGCGTCAATGATTGATGCATTAAAAATATTATTAAGAAATTATTTTCAGACTAGTTATTTTATATCCTTTAATACAATTAATAGCTATAACTGGATCACTGTTCCCTTATAACTTGAATAATAACGTTGAAGCCCCATGTAAGGGAATCCGGAATCCACGAAATTTTAAGGCTTTGGAATCCATTATCCAGCACTTGGAATCCAGAATCCAGTTTATAATGGAATCCGGAATCCGCTACTTTGAAATTCAAAGTATACACTCAAATGCTATCGCCTCGACCTAGACTGAACAGATGTGGCCCCTCCCCTACTGTGTAATATCTCTACGCTGATTCAATTGATAGACGATTCTACTTATACTGGCAAGTATATATCAAATATAATCGTCAGAGAAAATATCTGAAAATTAACGATATGGAATCTTGGAAACCGAAATGCAAAAATCCATTTATTGAGACCAGGATTTCTTGGACTTCCGGTATAACAGCGCACGCGTGACTTGCCAAAAATTAAGAATTTTTTTTTCACCGATTTTTGATTTGTACTATGATTTGTACTTTGATTTTGACTTCGATTTAATTTTTACTTTGCTTATTTTGACCTTTTATATCTCACTTTCTGAAAATTGCGCATGCGCTAAATAATGGATTATGCCAGAGCCCAATCTCGTAGCCAGAGCCTGCGTTTTTTCTGGCCTGCGGCGAAGAACGAGGGCTCTGGCATAATCCATTTCTTGATACCAGGATTTCTTGGACTTCCGGTATAAGAGTGCAAGCGTTCAAAGACTTGCCAAAAATTAAAAACATATGATCCCGATTTCTAATTCTTATTTTGATGGTAAATAAACACAGGACTCTGTTTTAAAGCAGTTTTAAAGCATGTTTTTCATTGATTATATTTCACTTCCGGAAAATTGCGCATGCGCCAAAAATGGATTACTCTCCATCCAATCAAATACCCGGCATAAACACACGGTCACGCCAAGATCACGGCACTGTCAGACCAATCACATGGCGCGAGAAAAAACATCAGCCAATATCATGGTCAGCACAAGGCACGCATACGGCGCTGAGCTTGTCACAGTCATACGAAAACTACTCTATTGCATTGAGTCACTGTACAAGCACATAGCCAAAAGCTTTTATTGATATACTTTTATTCCCATCTTCATTTCCACATGAGTTGCTGTCTTTCATGCCGTAATGGTCTCCCGACGTGCCGTACCCTATACGAGATCTCGATGGAAAACTGCAGTCCTTTTGAAAGCCAATGATTCCTATACGGGCCCTCGCAGCCCGTGGGTATCTTTTTGTGTCAACGTTGAAGCCCTCGAGAATGCAATCAGTCTTGGAGAAGAATGTGAAAACAACATAGATTAGGTGTATTTCAATTTCTTTCTAACGGTTCCTTTCTTCCTTCCTTCCTTCCTTGCTTGCTTCCTTCCTTCCTTCCTTCCTCTCTTGCTTCCTTCCTTCCTCCCTTTTCCTATTCCGTAATGCTTTTCCGTTTCAGACCACGTGTCATTCCCTTCAGAATAAGATTCTTCGTTTTACTCGCATCCATAATAAAGCGTCTTCTCATGCGCAACCGTTAAACAAAAACAAAGGAATAATACTACTTTGAGGATGGAAACGTGGTCTGAAGTGGCAAAACGAGCCGAGGAGGTCTAATTATTCAGAATATACAAATGATAATTACCTCGAGAGAACTGTTAGCCAAAAGAGACATCCAACTACTCTTAGGCAGATTTGCTTCTCTTAAGTTTCCATCCTTTATGACGTCGTACAAGGACATTCCTGATTGGTTAATGCTGATCCAGCTGGTGTGTGCGCCCTCCTTCATACCGAGGCAGAGTTTCGTCACCGGTGTCAGCCAATAGGATGGKAGCTTTGTTTCTTGTTCTGAGAGGTCTACGCCATTTTCTGGTCGGAAAGTATCTTTGTTGGTCCA